AAGGTCTCCCCCACTACCTTACCCCAGGGTGGTCTGGACTGAACCCCCACTCCCCAATCTCTGCTCTTGGAATGTTGTGACCTCCCCCCCTCACTACCCCCCGTTCATCCTTATTGCATCCCAGAATCCTACATGTATTTTCCTTCTCGTGCAACCAAATACCTGCTCTTACTCTCTCGAACCCTCTGCCACTCTGTCCCCCTGTATGGTGGGCTGTGTTCTTCTTTGGGGTGGCTGCTTTCTGCTCTCCCCAGATTATAAAATCCCACAGAATAGGGATCGTCTCTCAATCATAATTCTGTTTCTTACACCTGCCACGGAGCCAAGCGTGCACACCAGCAATGAAGGCAGCGCTTTATGTGCACCTACTGTGCACCAGCTGCTCTGATATGGGATCTTATAACGCTTGCTCAAGCAAGCATCGTTACCCTCATGGCACTGATGGGTGGAGAGGCTCAGCAGGATTGGCCAGGTGCCGTCCAAGGCAGACATGACCTCGAGGCTTCCCTGTGCCCATGCCACACCAGGATGACCGTGTTGCAGATTGTAAAGACCCATGCAGGCACAGTGTCTCTGCTGCGTCCATACAGCGTGTCTGCGCACACACAGACCCCTGCCTGACTGTGTCTGAGAATCACCTGGGAGCTTTGAAAATATGCATGCCAGGCCCCGACTCTCACAAATTGTATGAGAGTCCGGGGAGGTGGGGGTGGGGCTGGCACTGGTTTTCAAAAGCTCTCCCAGGTGATTCCAGTCCAGGCCCCATGCCCAAGCCAGAGTAAGAAAACCCACAGACCTCTGGAAGGTTCCTGGGAGCAATCATGACCATCAGCTGCTGCTGTTAAGAGCCTCTCAGTGAGTTCCTGACAACCTCGGCACTTTTTGAAGGTGAGGAAGGGCTCATCCGTACGTGGCCGTGGCCCCCGGTACCTCCCGTCTGAGGGGATTTACAACAGCATGGACTGAAGTTCTCCCTTTTGGGCTGGGCCCCCCTCGCTGCAGTTGGCCTGAGTGTGCCTCAGGTACCCTAAAGAGGTGAGCCTCCCAGAAACGCACCTCCAGTTTTCCCACGCGAGCATGTCTCTAGGAACTGAAAATGAGAGCGCTTGCGATTTGTATTTAATTTAAATAAGAAACTCTTCAGCCTTGAGCAGGGGTAGGTTTGTTGAGGACAGAACAGTGGTTCTCAAAGCGTGGTCCCCGGAGCATCATCACCACCACCTGGGAGCCAGAGAGCTAGAAATTCCTACCAGCCCCACCCCAGACCTGTTGCATCAGAAGCTCTGAGGTTGGAATCTGCCAGTGATACCCGCCAGGGGACCTTTCTGCCCCTGAGGTTGAGAAGCTCAGCTCAGGACTGATGGTGAGGATGTGGGTGGACCCCTGAAATGTCAGTGGTTTTCTTCCCCAGCTGGCCGTCCAAGACCCCCCAGAGTCTTAGAACATCTCGAGCTCCTGGGTCTCCTCTTAGGGTTTGGGAAGCTGTATGTCGTACACGTGCTCCCTGAGATTCTGAAATGCAAGCTTTTTTTTACGTTTTTTTAAACTGCGGTAGTAGAGACCTGATAAATATTGTATTTTAATAATAACTTCATATCCACTTGGCACAGGGTAAGGACTCGCTGCTGAAATTACGGCTCCTTCGTCTCTAATTACCAAAACGTTTTCCTTCAGCCCTGTTGCCCATTAAGTAAAGACGTTCCCTTTAGCACGCATCTTTCTCGTTGCCGGATTGTTCACTGCCACATAAAAACCACAAGTGGGTTTTATGGCCTCATGCATACTTAATTAGTCCATCTTCTCAAAATCGTGTTTTAAGTGAGTGAAAACATTCGCCACTGATCTAATTGATCCACGAAGCACCTTTTCAGAATGTTTGCGTGGCCAAACGCTCGATCCAGGGGGGTCCTTGAGGCTGGTGAGGGACCATAGGTCAAGGAGGCAAAGACCGTGCTTCTTCCCTTCACCCCTGTGGGTGGCTCTGCAAAGAGCAGGTTCGAAGCAGGACAGAAGCTCCAGGTGCAGAAGTCCGCTCTCTCTGAAAGAGCTGATTTGTTTTTGTTTTGCCCACAGCTGCCTCTCTCCCCAGCACCCTTATCTGTCATCAGAAATGTCCGCACCTGTGTGTGATGCTTTATGACGGGGCGCACCTGGCGGAACAGAGCTGTTGTCACGTTTGAGATCTGCCACCCAATGTGTGTGTCATGAAGCCTCATGGCAGGGATGACAAACGGCTTCTGCTCCAGCCTTCCCACCTGCCCACCGCCCTGCTTCTGCTGTCCTTTCGTCCCGTGGTGGAGGTCACCAGGCTCCAGAGCCACCAGGCTGCTCGAGAGGACCGTAGTGTACCCACAGGCCCCTGCCTGCACGTGCTCCTTCTCCATTTCTGGTTGTCTGTCAAGACTCAGCACGAAGGCCTGGGTGAAGCCTCCCAGCCCCCCATCCCCTCCCCAAGGCAGATCGGCAGTCATCTTTTGCACTCCCACGCGGCATGGCCTATCGTAAGCAAGGCTAGAGCTCGTACTCTATCATGTGTGTTTGTGTTACAAACCAAAGGAGTAAATAAACGAAGCCTTTGTTTTTCCTACCCCAGACCTTCCAGGAAGAACTTCTTTGGCAGGATTTGAAAGCCCGTTTAAGGAGACCAGACTTGCTAATACATTTCTTCTCTTGCCACGTGCAAACACTTGGTGTTTGGAAAATAATCTAGCCGCAGTAACTAGGGCTGACGGAGTTGCGAGCTGGCTTTGATGTGGCCACAAAGTGTGGTGGAAACAGGAATCCGAACTGGAATGTGGGCAGCAGAGTGGGTGCACAGCTGTCTTGTCACGGGATAAGCTTTAGGACACGGCTCTGGAGGGCTCGCCCCCAGGGCCCGTGCTGGAGGAAAGACCACGGTCGTGGGTGCCATTGCATTAGTGCCGTGCTGCTCACCCTGGACGGAGCCATCTGGGGACCGTAATAAAATCCCTGAGACCATCTGAGTCAGAAATCTGGGGAGGGACCAAGCATCTGAAATCCTTTCCCAAGGGCTTCCAGTCTAAAGGCAGCATTGAGAACCACTGGGTTAAAGAAGGCTGTTTCAACGTGTGGGGTTGAAAAGGAGGGAGGGAGGAATCAGTTGGCTCTTCTGTTCTTTTTCATAAGGCGGATAGAGGCACGCTCATCCTTCTAGGTATAGCTGTGTGTGCGCATGCTCGGGGGCTGTGGCTGTGTGGATATTGACAACGGTGTACATATTTATATGTTTGGAGGAGGGCTAGATCCACATGACTCCCCACATTTCTTAGCGCACAGCCTAGCATCTCTGAAGAGAGAATTCTGCCCTTACGAGTTAAGTTCTCCTTCTCATTTCCCTTGCCACTGTACGGACTCCGGCCTTTCCTTCTCTCATTATGAGTTTGCTGACATTCCCTTCTTTACTTTTCTACCATCCATTCACCACGCCTGGCGTCTCTTCTGTAAAAACCTTCAATGTTCCCCAATGTCCACAGATAAAAGACCGTGGTTATGGATTACCCTTCCCGGCGTGGACACCTGGAGGGTGTTTATTCCTGGCACCGGCCCTAAGGGGTAGCACTCCTCCCCATTTTATAGACAAAGTGAAAGATTCAGGTAAACTGCCCAAGGTCACAGTCGGGACGGACCCACCCATTCTGAACCTAGAGTCCTGGTTCTCTCTGCTTTGCCTTCCCTCCCTATGCTCGCCTGCTCCGCGGGGAGAGACTGCTCTGTGCTAAGAGACCTTTCGTTATTTCCGATCTTTGTGTGTACATCCTGCTAGGTTGATACTATTTCAGTTTTACAGAAATCAAGGCTTGGACAGGTTAAGCAACTTGATGGAAATCATAGAGCTAATTAAGGGAATAAGCTGGGTTTCAAACCAGGTGTTCCCTTCTCTGTGCTCCGCTTTTTTTTTTTTTTTTTTTTTTTTTTTACCACTCTGCACGGGATTGTCTCATTTCCTTAGGGTGGCATCTATGGCTCTTTTCTGCCCGAGTGTTCTTTCCTGCCCAGCTAGGGCTATGAGACCTCCAACGACAGGGACTCTTGTTGATAATACCCTGTGTAGAGGCCATTTGCATTTTCTCTCTAACTCACAAGCCCTAAAATAATGCATCTGCTCTTGCCCCTCCCCCCCAGTCATTTGATGGTTGCAGCCTGAATGTAATATCTAGTCACTTTGTGTTTAGTTGTGCATGTCTACTTTTCTGCTAGGTGGCATCTTGAGGCCAGGTATCCTCTCTTCCTTCTCTCTCTCTCTGTCTCATATTCCCCCCACCTCTTTTGCCTAAGGCATTGCCAAGCCACCAGGAGAGGTTACTAAGTATTTGTTAAACAAATGAAGCTCAGACAAGAATACAGAGGTGGGGAAAGCGTTTAAAATTTTCCATCCAAGGGGCCTCCGAGGGGCTGCATAGAAGAGTCAGGGATGTGTTTACCTGATGGCCTTTAGGGAAACGTATGTTGGAAATTTCCAGAAGGAGACAAAGCTAATGATTATCCCAGTGAGCTAATCTAGCATATCCATTTTGCCAACTAGGTTTTTGTTTCATTTTATTTTCTTCCGATATGCTTTGCTAACTTCGTGAAAAAGCCCCTGTCTTCTGAGCCCTAAATCGGGTATAGTTGGGAGTGTGTGAAAATGGACTTCAAGGCTTTTACGACCGTGAGCCAGACTACATGGTGGTGGGTGCGGGGAAAGGAAAGTTGTGTTTCCCAAATACAGGCAGAGCCTTTCAGGATGGGAGCAGGTGCCAAGAAAGAACTTCCTTTGTGATTGGGTAAATTAATTCTTTCAACCGTTGACTTGGAGCTATCATACTAAGTAAACGGTTTTAGGACTCTTCGGGTTGAAGTGGCTTAAGTCACTTTTGCATCCCGTTGAAACTGCCCAGCGTCAAGGGCAGGCCAGGCGGGTGCGCTGTGAGGCCAGAGGGGGCTTCTGCTTGGGTGGCGTCATGAGCACTGGTCTTGAGATTTCATTTTGCACCCCGCAGGTGAGCGTCCTGACCACCCTGGAGCGGAGGTTCAACCTGCAGAGCGCCGACGTGGGCGTGATCGCCAGCAGCTTCGAGATCGGGAACCTGGCTCTCATTCTCTTCGTGAGCTACTTCGGGGCGCGCGGGCACAGGCCGCGTCTCATCGGCTGCGGCGGCATCGTCATGGCCTTGGGTGCGCTGCTGTCTGCGTTGCCCGAGTTCCTGACCCACCAGTACAAGTACGAGGCGGGTGAGATCCGCTGGGGCGCCGAGGGCCGCGACGTCTGCGCCGCCAACGGCTCTGGCGGCGACCAGGGCCCCGACCCGGACCTCATCTGCCGCAGCCGGACGGCCACCAACATGATGTACTTGCTGCTCATTGGGGCCCAGGTGCTCCTGGGCATCGGTGCTACCCCCGTGCAGCCCCTGGGTGTCTCCTACATCGACGACCACGTGCGGAGGAAGGACTCCTCGCTCTACATAGGTAGGAGCATCTCGGGTGCCGGGCCCACTTTCCTGTGGTCCATGCTTTGTTAGTAGCAGGGACGCCTTGGCAGAGGAAGGCAAGGTGGGCCCCTGAGCTTTATGTGGTTCTGAAAGGTGGCTGCACATCTGCAGGGGTTGAGAAATGGGGATGCTTGAGTTGCAGCCCCAGAAAATCTGGTGTGGTTGGTCTGTGGTGCCACGGGGTGGGGTCATGGACTCCCCAAATGATTTCTGTGTGCAGCAAATTTTGAGGTCCTGCTTTTCTAGAGCATTAAGAAGCTAGAAGTGGGAAGACGTGGTCAGGAGGGGTGTAGCATGTATTAATCTGCCATGTGTATGAGGACTTTGAGCCATCTGGCATTAGCCATCCAGGTCTCCGTGGGGTCTACACCTTGGAACCCCAGTTTCTAATAATCAACATGATCTTCTGGTCATTGTCCTGTTGAAGTTCAAAGGGAGCGATGATTGCACCTCCCCGGCATTTGCTATCATTCAGAGTCGGTGACTTCTGGTAACTCTCTGCATTAGGGGTGTGCACAGGACCTGGGTATTTAGGAAGAAATAAGGTATGTGTGAATCTTAAATTTCACACCATCATAGCTTCTGTCACTCTGTACTGGGAAGGTGGAAGCCCTTCACATGTTACAGGGTTAAGAAACCTCTCTACGTGTGAGTTGTTCTTGAAATAAACGGGGTCCTCAGTCACTGCTTTTAGGCACTGTGGCAAGGTCACTTGCAGCATGAGGGCCTGACGAGCATCGCTGCCCCTTGTTGACTAATTAGTGTGGATTTTTAAGACCTGTCTCCACTCACTGAGTGCTAAGCTTTGGCAGAATGACTTCTACCTGTGGAAGCTTTTTGCATCCTGAAGCCCTGTGCTTTGAAGTATGAAGTTAATGATCACGTAAAGGTTGAGGTTAAAATAGAACTTGAACAGAACTTGACATAAAGCTTTCTACCCGTGCAGCTTCGTCCACTGTCCAAGGCTTATGAGATAGGAGGGTTCCATTATACAGCTCCATGCCAAGTTTCCTCTGTGACTTTCCATCCCAACTGTGGTGTAAAAGCTTTTGTTGAAAACCGGTGTTGCATATGCAGATGTTCGCAGTTCTCTGTGAAGAAGCTCAGGGTAAGAAAGGTAGATGGAAAGTGTGTGCCTCTCCATCTAGGGCTGGAGCACCTGGGGCCTGGTGATGACTTCGTTGTGGAACACGACATGGGAGAGGAGACTTCCCAGGCCCATGATGGCCAGACCCTCTCCCCCTGTGGTTAGGGTGGGTACTGAGGACATCATTTACATTTTGTTAATTCTAAACCTTGAGCGACAGCCACCGCAAGTCAGTCTCGCAGACCAGGACATGGGCCACAGCATGTAGCCAAGCTCCTGAGGTCCAGCCAGACCATTGGTCTAGGAGTTGACTGATGGAATCCTGAGCCCCTGGGAGAGATGTTTTCCAGTAGCAGTTAATAGTAAGTAGATAAATCAGAACTCAGAAAAGGAAATGGCGGAATGAAAAATGTAGTTCTTGTCTCTGATGATAGAATCAAGCAGAAAAATTACTCCAGCGTCCTTCCTTCTAGAGGCCTAGAACCTTTTTCTGCAAGTCTCCCTGCAGAGTTAGGCTGTGGTCTTTCCCTGCACTGAGTGGGGCCTAGTTTATATGTGCATTAGGATGAAGGGGGCTTCCATTTTGTTGGGGAGGAGGTGAGGGCATGGTCAGTGGGGCTGACCATTCGAGGCAAAGGGCCGCCTCCAGTTTTGAGGCCACGTCTGTGAGATTTACCACAAATCTTCGTTAGGAAGACTGTTTCGGGCAAATTTCTACTTGGGCACCATTTTCTTTCTTCTGTGACAGCTGGAGTTGGCAGTGCCCATTTGGTGCATGGACATCTTGGTGGCGCTGGTCCATCTGGCAAACTCCAAAACATGACTGCACATAGCCATTGAGATGGGCTCTCTGCGTGCCTCTGAACTGGTTTTATGGGTCTGTGTTTCCAGGGAGGAGGAGAGAGTAAGCCTTCTGCAGAGACTGGCCTTAGTGGATGGCCTTATTATCCCATGCAAGCTTTGGATTGTTCCAGGAACAGTTTAGGAAGACCACAGCATAGGCAGAGTATAACTGGTTCATTCACAAATTGTATGGGACATAAGGAGGTGTTCGTGACCATGAGGATATTTTAGAATTTATCTTCTCTAATGGGGAGCTAGTTCCTGAAGCCACTTAAAGCTTCAGGAGGTATTTGGAGGAACCTACTGAATAGGTAGCATACCTTGTATGCTGCCTGGAGAGAGGAGGGGAGCCTGAGGACTCTGGAACTGTGGGTATGCATGCACATGCTTTGGGGTGGAATAGCACATCTGTCTCCTGTTTCCAGCTCCTGCAAAGCTGGTTAAGAGAGCGAGGCCCACGACCAGCCATCTGGTCATATGCCTAATAATGTGATTGGAGATGGAAAGGATTATAAAGACTTCCATTTGTAAAACACAGACTTCTTCACGGCTGAGCCTTTCCTGTGGGTGTCAACGGGGGAAGGGAATGATGACCATGTAGTCTCAGTCACAGGCCACCGGTGACCAGGCCTGCCTCTAGGTTGCACGGTGCTGGTGGGTGCCATGCGCCTGTATGTGGCCATGCCCAGGACCTCTTCACACGGGGGAGATGAGAACTTTCCATCTTGAGTCAACTGAGCCTGTCCACTGGAATGAGTATTTGCTCTGGACTCCTGTGGCTGGGCCACTGCCAAGCTCCTGGGTTCCTCGAAGGGCCATTCACAAGGGGCTTCTCTCTGGCTGGCACCAATCCGTGGCTGCCCCTTTCCAGCATGAGGAAAGGGAGCCAAGGGAGCTCATTACCAGGGGACAAAACCCGCTGAATGGGAACACGACTCTCTGCTGGCAGGCTTTTCACTAACGCCCGGTGTGGAGCCAAGCCTCACGGAGCTAGACAATGACCTGTGGGTGGCACGTGGTGCTCTTTCTTCCTAGATGGACTGAGGGGCCAGAGAGGCAGTGGAAACCATTCGATGTGGGCATGACGAGGGTCCAAGAATAGACCCTTTGGGAGTCTCCTCAGTGAGCCTCCATTAGCCCAGTTTTCTTAGCTGGTTCTGTTTCTTTCAAGTTCAAAACCTGGCAAGACCTACTATAAGTAGGATAATGTAATGGACTCACCGTGTCCTTTCATTAGGTTGCTATGGCAACTGGTTGCAACCTTGTCCTCTTTGAGAAAGAAAAAGGTGACCTGAGTGTGGTAGAGACTTTCTGAGTAACTTTATTCCTAGTTAAAAACTATTATGTGTTCACTGTTGACAAGGTTGGAAGTATGGAGAAAGAATAAATCCTTACTCTTGGGACACCTGGGTGGCTCAGTTGGCTGCGCATCCAACTCTTGATCTCAGCTCAGGTCATGATCTCATGGTTCATGGGTTCGAGTCCTGAGTCAGGCCCTATGCTGACAGTGTGGAACGTGCTTGGGATTCTCTCTCTCTCTGCCCCTCCCTTCCTTGCTCTCCCCCAGAAATAAACTTAAAAGAATCCTTACTCTTAGCTTTGATTACAGAAGGTCTTTTTCTGTGTTGGTATGCTCTTCTACCAAAAATGTGCTCATAATAAATGCCTTTCTCTTAATATTTGATGCACATTGCCCCATGTTACTAAATATTCTTCTGTAATGTTACTATTGCATGCATAACATTCTCTGGTGGTTCCGTACTGTAATATTTAATGCCTTCTATTGTTGGACACAGTTTTTGTGTTTTTGTTTTGTTTTTAAGTGTTTGCTGTTGTCGGTAAGGCAGATGGGACTCTCTGATTCTGAGTAGTTAAATGACTTACCTAAGATAACTTAAAATGGAGCTGGACTCGGGGTCTGAGGGTGGAGGTTTTTCTATGTACGGTTGCGGGGGAGAGGGCTGGTGGATGGTCCAAGGGGACAGGTACAAGTCAGGGCCTGCCACAAGATAGCATGAAGTCTTCAAGAAGTAAAAAATCTCAGGAGCCAGCAAGAAGTGAAGAGAGCGATGTGTCTCAAAGCTGAGGGGGGAAGTGCGATCAGAAGGGAGAGTGGGTGGCATAGACCAAGGTGTGGAATCTGAGGGAGAGGGGAGGGTGGTCCCGGCTCACAGTCCAGGACAGGGTTGTGGAGCCATTACTGCTTTGAGTAGAGATGGATGCAGGTTAGAGCCCGCCCTTCTCAGCCAGGGGCCGCTTGGGTTTTCCACCTTCTGCTTCTCTCTCTCTCCAGAGTTGATTCCCTTTTTGAACCACAATAGCCATTAGGTAATCATACTTCCTTGTATTAGAAATCTGTCTCCTTACAGCTTCCCACATGCCATTAACTGCCCCGTAGGCCCCCTAGAAGACTTATAGTCTCTCTTCTTGTGTGTGTGTGTGTGTGTGTGTGTGTGTGTAATAATCATTTCTAATGTTTTATTTTTGAGAGCGAGAATGTAAGCAGGGGAGGGGTGCAGAGAGAGGGGACAGCAGATCAGAAGTGGGTTCTGCACTGGCCGCCGTGAGCCCGATGCGGGGCTTGAACTCCGAAACTGTGAGATTATGACTTGGGCCGAAGTCAGATGCTCAACTGATGGAGCCACCCAGGCGCCCCTCTCTTCCATGTTTTGATAATTCACCAGATGACTGAGCACCAGCCTCGCAGGGGTAGGGAAGGAGTTACCTGCGACGTAGCTCTTCTGTGCTAGGACCTTTGTTTCTTACTTGACCTGGTTTTCCTGCTACACGTGAGCCACCATTTCCCTGGTAAAGATGGATGCTGTGGGGGCTCATTGCCAGGGGACAAAACCAGAAGACTGAGGTGTGCAGGATGTGGGTCCTGATTTAATTTGCTAAGGCCGTCCTAACCTAACACCACAGACCGAATGACTTAAACCAGACAAATGTCTTTTCTCACAGTTGTAGAAGCTGGAAGTCCAAGATCAAGGTGTTCTGAGACACAGATGGCTCCCATTCCTCCTCTTCCTCCCTTCACAGGGTCTTTCCTCTGTGTGCTCACACCCCTGGGGGCTCTTTGTGTCCTCATTTTCTCTTCTTAAAAGGACAGCAGTCGCAGGGGAGTAGGGCCCAATCTTATGACTTCATTTAACCTTATTACGTCTTTGCAGCTCTGTCTCTAAATACAGGCATGTCCTGCAGTCCTGGAGGTTAGCGCCCCGATGTATCAATCTGTCAAGGTGGCGGGGCATGATTCATTCCATAACCTGTATCGAGGGGATCAGTACCAAACTAAGCCAAGACCCTTGGGTCTTTTGCCCTAACTTTTCTATAAGGAACTGCATTGTGTGTGTGTGTGTGTGTGTGTGTGTGTGTGTGTGTGTGTGTGTGTAGTTGTGCCCGAGAAATTATTTGAAGATGTAGCTTTAAAAAAAACAGAAACAAAACCTTTGGGGCATCTGGGTGGCTCAGTCGGTTGAGTGTCCGACTTCAGCTCAGGTCATGATCTCACAGTCCGTGGGTTGGAGCCCCATGTCAGGCTCTGTGCTTAAAGCTCAGCCTGGAGCTACTTTGGATTCTGTGTCTCCCTCTGTCTCTCCCCTTTCCCCTGCTCGTTCGTTCTCTCTCTCTCTCTCTCTCTCTCTCTCTCAAAAATATATTTAACAAAACCTTATTTTGAGATCACTCTAGAATCACAAGTTGTTGCAAAGTACAGGGAAGTCCCCCATACTCTTCATCCAGTTTCCCCCAGTGGTAACATGGCACATGATGGTAGCACAATATCAAAGCCAGGAAATTCATATTGGTATCATCTTTGAAGCTTATGCAGATTTTACCAGTTTTGTGTGCATTCATTTGTGTGTATGTCTATATAGTGCTGGGCAATTTTATTATAAATGCACGATGTTGTTTTCAAAATGCAGAACGGGATTAAGGTGGAACCAGATCATTTTGAGTTCTGTGAGCATGTTTGGCAAGCATATACACGTGTGACACTGATAACACACGCATGCGTGTGCATACACGCCCAGTGCGGAGGATACTGAGACAGAGTCTTACGTAGAATGGAGGCTGGCCAGAGGAAAGGGATTCTTCGAGAAGCCTTCCCGTGGGAGCCTTCTGAATTCCCAGGAAGAATAGAGTCCTTGCAGACTGCCTGATCCACAGAGCGATTGTTCCGCATTGGGCAGCACATGTATTAGACACAAATGTGTCATGTTTTTTTTGTCACTTCTATTGAGACCCAATGGAGCCCACTGTGTTCCAGTTGATACAAAGAGAATTATTCTCAGATTTCATCTGCCAAGTGTTTGTTTAGCACAAAGGTCACTGTGATACCAGCCGGCAACCAGAGAAACCCAAACTTCTCCTCTGAGCCCTGGGAGCTCAGAGTTCTTTGGCTTCTGATGGGTTTTTATTTTAACTTGACATTGGGTAAAATGTGTTTTAACTCTCCAAAGAGTGTGGGTCGGGTATGGATCAAATACACTGTGACTGCAGTTCATCTGAAAAAATAATTAAAAAGCTCTCCCTCGTGGGAGCAAGCCTAACTCATTATATTCTTGCAACTTCATTGATATTGAAGTTTCCCTCATTAATTTCTTTTTCTAAAATAAATGGCACTGTAACACTGGTCAATTTGTTTTGGCTGTGTTCCACCCCCTCTCCCCAGCTGCTGGTCACATGCCATTTTCAGTGTGTGTTAGCAACGTGCTAGGAAACGCGCACGGATCTCTTATCTGGTACTTCCATATTGCCTGGGCTGCTAGGTGCTTCTCCTTCATTTTCAGCTGCTCATAATTCATGCCCTGTGGCTCATGGAATCGCTTCTGTGCTCACTGCCTGGGTGACCTTGGACAAGACTCCCAGCATGAGCTCTGGAGTCCGACAGTTTTGAGATTGAAATCCTGGCTCCCCTTCAGACCTGCCAGCAGGATTTTGGACACCTTTCCAGTTGACTTCAGCCTGTTTCCTTAGCGGTAAAAGGAGGCCAGGATCTCTACCTTGCAGGGCTCGGCCTTGCTATCATTTGCATCAGGTACCCCATCCACGGTGGAGATTGATAATCACTGTCCTGTTCATTTTTACAGTCCTCTCCATTTCCAGATGTAGAAAGTGAGGTGTGAGATAAGTGACTGACTTCTTGAAACACACAGGCAGATCTTTTGACAAGAGCACTCGGATCCTGATTTTCAGCTTGGGACATAATCCACTTAGTAGATCTAGAATAGCTACCTCTTCAGTCCTGCATTAAATCAGCAGGGCTCTTCTTTGCCTGCAGACCCCTTCCTGTGGCTCCTCTCAAAGTACATAAAGTGCTAGCATGGCCCCAGGCAGCATGCGATCTGGTTCATGTGAAGTCAGAGGCGCCCTAGAGTATGGCCATTGCCACCACATGATACATTGTTTAGCTTTCTAGGTTTTGACACATTACTTCTGAATGTGCTTCTTAATATTGGCTCAGTTTTTCAGAAGAATGTATTCTCACTTTCATAAAATTGGGAAAACCCAAAATCTAATAAGAAAACCTAAATAATTTCTAATCTAGTTACCTATAGAAAGCTATTGTCAATAGTTAGGTATATTTTGTTCCAGCCTTTTTCTTTTGTATTTTAGTTAAGACCCTATTATATATGTAGACCTACTTTTAATGGACCTATTGTAAAGTTCTTAATATAGCAATTATATGTGAAATTATTGTATTATTACCAAGATAAAGTTGCAGGGTA